GGCGACGTTGCCGTAAACTCACTCTCTCCTCCTTTATTTATCGCCCTCCGTTATGTACCGACGCTTCTCCCTCATCCCGGAGAGAATTAAGAATGCATGCGCCCTGCGTTTGACTGCATCCGCAGAATGCGACGCGCTTAAAGATACGAGGTCGTTCGCTAATTGCGATACCCTTGCCTCTCCCCCCTCTCGTGCGTGGCTTCAGGTTTGTCCACAAGAATTGAAGTCAAACGGACAAACGCCGCGGTGATGAGAAACAAAGTATCTACGTCGAAGCGCGCGTGAAAAATACGTGCAATAAAGATCCCCGGGCGGGATTGCACTTTGTTATTGGACGAAAAAACACCAAAATTGGCGTAAGTATGGAGAGTCGACGTATCCTTGTTCCTCAGCTATAAAGTACCGAACTTTGTTGAACAGTGCGTGAATTTCGTCTACTGCGTGCAGCAGATGGAGTCGAAGTTTCAGTTTGCGGGCACGTTTGATTATTAGCGTTAGTTGATTTTTCGATGTGCTAAATTTGTTCTCGGACTACCTCGTAAATTTTTATGTAACAAATCAGCACTGAGTAATTTATTGGACAGTACTATCTTACAATGTAAGCCTTGAGTCTTTTAAATCATTTTGGATCTCGTGCTGGTCTTTGTCCTCGTCATCGAGTGACGCAAAAAACAAGATTAGTTAGGAAGGCAATATATGACAGTAAAACAGGCAATATAATTAATAAGTAACAATTTTCACAAAGCTACAATATATTTTAGTCTAGAGAGATATCGCTTTGCATCCATGTACATATATTTTAATTCCCCACCTTCGACAGAGTTTTAGAGCCCAAAAGCAAAATAGTACGTCGGTCTTGGTGCTTTTCCTCTATTAAATGTCGTTCGACTCGACGCTATTTGTCACTTATTATAATAATCGATAACGGGGACGAGGAACGCCATTGAAGGGGAAGACGAAGAAGAGGAGGCAAAGAAGGGAAGACAAAGAGAGAGAGAGAGAAAGGGGCGGAAGGATGCGTCCCATCTGAAATGTATGCGGCTCGTCGCGTTATTCCGCGCGATGTTTATGCGGAGGAGAGTCGGCCTTTCCCTTCTGGAAATATAACGTCGCTCGGCGGGAACTTAAGCGAGGGAGTGCGCCCGCTTATTGCCTTAAATTGCTAATTGGGCTCAGGACCGACGCTGCCTTTCCAGTCTCTTGCAGTTGTGCAGTATCTCTCTCTCTCTCTCTTCCTCCCCCTCCCCTCTGAATCCAACCGTCTACTTTCCCTCTCGAATCTACGTCCTCTCCGTTCGCTCTCTCCGGTCCCCCGACTTTCTCGATACCCATTGTCAATGATACACCAGACCCTCCCCCGGAGGGTCGAAGACGACGCGAAGGGTGCATCGGATGTTGCGTGAAGTCCCGGTGAAACTTGAACGACGCAAAGCACGACAAATTCCCGAAGTCCGCTCCCTTCCCTCTCGAACGAATTTCAAGCTCGCGATGTATCGCGCGATAAATCAGAACATCGAAGCCGTGGAATATAATTCGGCGTGCGTAACCAGCGAACATCCACGTAGCTTTCCCTACGCTTTCTGTAGCGCGGGCTGACGGTCGAGCTTAATTCCCGGTATCTTGAGAAATGCGAGAGATCGTAGTGAGCGCGCACGGAAGAAGCGTCGCCCCGAAATGCTCCGAACGCGCGCATCCTCCGCGGAGCATCCCGCGTGGCGAAGGAATATTGAAGCGGGAGCGAGGGGAGTGAGGGATTAGCACACTCCCGACTTCCCTCCGCGTCGAATTCGGTCTCCATTGTGCTCGCTCCTCGAAAAATTTCCGCGGGATCGATGCCGCCCTCTCCTCGCTCTCTCTTCAAGCGGAACGTTCACGATGATGCTGTAACGTGCATCATCCTCCCAGCTCCGAAGATAGTGCGCAAACGATCGTGCCTGTAGGAAACCCATATCGTCGTTTCAACCGCCGGGCGAAGAAACCGAAGAGATAAAAAATGTGCAGCGTCGCGCCGGAGTCTCGATGATATCGCTCTCCCTCCCTCTCTCTCTCTCACTCTTTTTCTCCGTCTCTCTTTCTCCGTCTTTCCGCGGACGGGCTCGGAGGGGGGAATCGATCGCCCCGGTTGCAATTAATGGTCCGCGTAAAATACGACTGATGATGGCGATACAGCAGATACAGCTGATGACACACAATGTAACGACAAACATAGATGGTTGATATTGCAAGACGACGGCCGGGTATTAATTGCGCGGCTGCTTACGTTATTGCGACGGAGAAAGGAAAGAAAGAGAGAGAGGACGATTAGCATCTTCGGTAAATATTTCCCCGAACATCTATCGGGTGAGACGGGCCTTCGGTATCGGGCCAACGGTGGCAATAATTAACCCTGCCGGGCGATATCGGATGCATACTCAACGCGAAATTGCACGCTTAACGCTCGCAACGCCTCGGGAGCCGGGAGCATGGAGAGGAAGTCATCGCTGTCGCCGATGCGATAAGGCGGCTGCCGAAAAGAAATTAAGTATCGTCGCGCGATTTCACGGTTCCACCTGCTGTTGTCGCTCTCCTCCGTCCGCCACCCGGATGGGACGTCGTGCGGCGATGCGCGCGCGACGAGCCGGTTATCTCGCGTCCCCGGTTCCTACCGCGCGCGCGCGCGCGCGCGCATTAATCCTCTCGCCGCAGCGAAAAACACGAGCGCGCTGAATTAACATCGCGACTCCGTCCGTCGCGGCTCGCGCTAATAAAGCCGTGCCACAGCTGCGTGGACTCATGAATATTTATGATCTAGATTTGTTCGCCGTAAAGCAAATCGGACGGTCATTTCTTCGAACGCACACGTACGCGCCGCGCGAGTGTGTACACGTGCGCCTATGTGGCGATGTGTGCGCGCGCGTGCGTGCTGCTGCCGCTGCCTGCGTACGTGGAGTGCGTTACGTAACGCACGCGAGAGCGCCTCGATCGATGCCTCGGAACGATCAATTTCGTAGCGCGCCGGCAGGTGAGCCGGTGGCCTCTTCTTCTTTTTCCCTCTCCTCGTCTCGAGAAAGGATCCGTGATTTTCGGAAATAATAATCGATAGCGTGCGCGATCGCCGGGCCGATATATTTTCTGATTCGTAACCGGCGGTGATGAACGCGCACCGGTTACGTAAACGCGCGCCGTTCCTCGAAATCCCGCGGTGCGTACGCCCTGTGATCGGCGCTCGCTCGATCTCCCCCCTCGGGTTTCTCGCCGCCGATGTTGCGGTGTCATGAAAGTATCGATACCGATAGCGGCATCGAATCTTGAAAAACTTAAAATTACGGGAAATATAATGAGACATTTCTATCTTCTACGTTCATTAGACTTTCTGTAGTTTGTGATCTAAAGGTCTTAGGATGAGTTAAGGCTCCTGTGTTCTCGCTGATGACTTGTTTGATAACGTCGGAAGAAGAGAAATCGTATGCTACAAATGATCGCGATACACGCGGAATTAACACAATACGTGCCCAAAATCACACTCGTGATCGACCCCGCATATTTGCAAAAATGTCCGGACGCTTTCCTTTTCATTTAATCGACAAATAACTGTAAATTTAACGTAAAGGAAATCGCGATAAAAGAGGCGAGTTCAAAACGTGAGTTACATGTTATATCAATTTTCATGAAGCAAAAATACATATTTTAAAAATCAACGTGGCAAAATGTAAAAAAAACACGATATCTCGAAACAAAATAATACCGATATGGGCGCGGATATCGGAAGGAAATATTTAAAAAAAGAAATAGCCGGTATTGAGAGAAAAATATCGATGGCGGTATTATATCGGTAATATCACGGCACTCCTACGTGTCACAAGCCGGCCGCGACGGCGAGAATGAACTTTGGAAGCGGGGATCGATCGGCTGTTTACCCGTCCGCGGGCATGATCTGCGGGGAAACTCGTTAACTTCGAATCGGGAGCACTCGGTTTTCCGGTCGCGCGGCAAATGCCGCCCGTGTGCGCGCATTTTCCGACGTGGTTTTGCCGCGAATGAAAATAACGGACGGCGCGTGCGATATCGACTGTAAACGCCGCCGAGGATTTCCGCGATCATAGGTGGTGCGTGCCAGCCACGTGGCAGCTGCTCCAACAGCTGTTACCGCTCGGATACTCGAGAGGCGCGTCGCTTTTTCGGCCGTCGCTGCCGATTTTTAATGTTCGCGTGTCCGACAAAAAGCGGCATCCCTGCCCGCGAAAACGCGTCCCTTATCGGCGACGCATCGCCTCTCCGATCCTGCACCGCGATATCAACGCGCGCGAGCGCGCGCCTTGCAATTATGCACCAGGAGGAAATCGGCGCCGGTGTTCTCTCTCTCTCTCTCTCTCTCTCTCTCTCTCTCTCTCGCGCGCGAGCTTTTGTCTCACGCCGTGCGTTTTTAACACATTGTTGACCGGTGACGAAGTGACTCGTGTTTTGCCGCTGGAACATTGTCAGCCGGTCCACCCCGCGTTGTGTGACGCTGATCACGACAAGGCTGCGGACAAGGTGGTGAAAACAGTAACAGTCTGTGTAACTGTCAAGTAAGGTAGTCGGCCTGTCGGATCATTTTCTCCGGAATCCTTTTAAATTTTCGCTATCGATGGAAATGACCACACGTCTGTGAGGTTAGAAAACGATCGACCATTCGGAAACTGAGATATTCGCAACTGAAAATTAGCTCAATTGACATATTAAAGGAAATATTGATAAGAAAAATAAATAATAATATCCCTGTGCTTGTAATATTGTGTATATATTTGTTTTAATTTCGCACGTTCAAAATTAACATTTATCACTTAGTTGAATAAAATTATAGGAAAGTCTTTTTTCAGTGAATAATAAACTTGTATGACTTAATATCGCCGGTAGAAATCCACTCTGTGGACCATCTACCTCAAGAGCCTGTCAATATGAAGAAATGAAGTGAGATTTGAAATTAATTAATATAAAATCAATATGAGTCAATGAAATCAATCATTATGAAATCAATATGAATTGCAAAACGGTCATTAAATATTATTCATGCAAAATTATGTGCATATGCTTCGAGTGGAGCGCCAGAAATCCTTCGAAAACCAAGGTTCTTCTCACTTTGTAGAAATGCAGTCAGCCAAACGCGATGAGCTGCTATCACCTCGAGTTTATTACACACGACAGTCGATTGCATTTGTCCCATTGAACCGTAATTCTTATCGTAAACACATAAAGATTTACGAGGCCCATCGTACGACCGGATTCGTCGTAAAAATCAGCGATTGGCGGTCGCCGTAAAATCACTCGCGAACGAGAGCAGTCGGGCCGAAGTTTGCAAGGTAGCGGTTGTGCAAAACAGAAAAAAAAAGTAAAGAAAACGTTTGGAACAAATATAGCGGTATCCTTTCGGCAGTCATTCAAACTCCTCTCGGGCACTCGAGGATGTTCGTTTTGTTCGAAAATGTCGAGATCGTTCGAGTGCTTTTACCGCGACAAAACGTGAGTACATAATGACAGCTCCTCCGCCGTTGGCCGAAGACAAACAGTCATGGTCGAGTCTGACTTTCCGGTACCGGAAGATTCGATTATGAGATATTGATCCGTTATTTACCTCATGACAAGTTTAAGACCCTGAGACCCGCGATCTTGACACTGAAGTAACATCATATGTCTCTCAGACCTACACCACGGAAAAACATTGTAATCATAATTTTTTTTTCTTTTGCATTTTTTCGGTCTTTCACGAATTTATCAAGTTTATTACCAATTCTTATTTGTTGTTTTTGTAAACTGTTTGTCACCAGGAAACCGTTTATCTCATTGGATCAGATTGATAACAGCAAGTAGTCACATGGTCCCAATTGTACTCCTGAGTAATAGAGAAATAGAAGTGGGCTATAGCGTTTTTGTATCAAACGCGAAAGGTAGATAAATAGACGATTCAACGTTTTCTAGGAGCATAAAAGAAAGAACACACGTGCAAACGCAAGGTGGAGAAGTGATACAGTCGGGTAACAGATATACAAATAAAAACAAGAGTGAAAAGTAAAAATGTAAATAAAAATATGAAAATTCATAATTCATCGATTACATGTTTCGGCTCAGCAAACTTTGTCTTTCGACCGGAGGTCCGGAGATGTGTTCCTTTTCGCCCGGAAACTCCCGGAAAATTTCTCGCTTGCACAACAAATTGCTCGTTATTATAGTGACAGCAGAAAGATTTGTTGCGCGGAAAAAAAATCATCAATTATCGTTGCAACGAAACATCGTTGCGACAGCAATAAAATTTTGCATAATTAACAATTACTAATTAATACTCTTAACATCCTATCACTGTCATTATAATAACAAACAATTTGCTATGTCAGTGAGAAATTCCTCCCCGTGACACCTCTGAAGAAGTGGTGAACGAAAGAAAACGCGTGTAGGTAAAGCCTGACATGTCACTCATCAGGATTCAAACCGATTCTCGTATCGCGCTCGAAGTGCAATGCGATGAATTCCGCGGTAAATCACTGGGAAACTCTTCAAAAATACCGACAACCGTCGAGACCGCGTCGAAGGAACGGCGGAAAAACCGTCCGCGGGAAGAACTCGGATACAAAGCCCGGGAAGAAGAAGGAAGAAAAACGTGCAAGGCAGCTTTCGAAGGCGGCGGAGTAGTCGACACGCGCGACTCACCTGGAGGAATTCGCGCAAGGTCCGCGTTCTTATCTTTCCTCTCGTCTTAACCTCCAAACGCGTCGCTGCTACCGCGTGACCGCCGCCTCCGTCTCTCAGCCGCCGCCGCCGCCGATCGCCGCGGCTCGGGCGTTTCCGTGCGCGGGTGACCGCTGCGGGGCGCTCGAGTCGACCGGCCGCCGCTTCGACGAGCGCAGTACGCGGCGAGACGCGAAGCAGTGCGCCGTAAACTTTTTTATCAGCGTACACGGCGTCGCGCGAGTCCGCGGTGGTCCGCGCGCGCGCTCTCTCTCCGATTCCATTCCGCGCGATCACACGCTTCACCTCCTCTCCGTGTCGGGAAAAGCGACCGGGGAAAGCCGCCGCCGCCCGGGGACGACGAGGAAATCGACGGGGTAGGTTTTTCCTCTCCGGGGAACGAAAACGGAAGTGTGTGTGTGTGTGTGTGCAACGCGGCTTCTCGCTGACACGTGGTACCGCCCGATGATAAGAGCACTAACGCGCGCGCACACTCGAGCGAGCGAGACGTGGGAGCCGGAAAATTAATCCGACCGACGGCGCTTTTCCTCGACGCGACGTGGCGCCGACGCAATTTCCGCGGCCGAGCGCCAGCGTTTTCCCGCAACCGCCGGCGAATCGCGCGCGACCGGAGTAACTAACGAGCGGGGGAGACCGGTCGTCGCGCTTTTCCGCGGAAAAAAAACCATCGGCCCGGTGAGGACGACCTCCTCCGGTGAGCGTCACGACGGTGGTCAGTCCGGGAAAGTCCGTGGGATCCTCGCGCGAAACGTCACAGCGCGACGCCCCAGCGAGGAGCGGAGCTCTCCTCGGCGGAACTTCAACGTGTACGCGAAAGCGTGAGTCATAGCGCGGAATCGCGCATTGCGCGAGACGCGATCGCGCGAGAGTCGCGGCGATCGGCGGATCGATGAGGCGCGTGTCGCACTGGGATGATAAAAAGGAAAAAGAAACGTCGCTGCGGCCGATCACGCGATTAGCTCGTGGAAATGTCCCGGAGTGATTAATGTCAACGCTGGCGGAGTTCGAGCCGCCGGCGGAGGATCGCTGTTTAAGCGCCCGATCGCCCCGAAATCGCGCGGAGAGACCGGCCGCTCGGTCGCGATATATCGGTTGATCCTTTTGATGTGTACCGTTCGGCTCTCGCTCGTCCCATTTAAAAGTCGTTTAAACGGGGGAAATGATCATATCATACGTATAAAATGAGCGACGGATTGGAGTGACCGGCGCGAGTCGATACCGCGAGGATTGCACGTGCCACGAGGAAAGATTGTGCGCGAGCTGCATCCGAGGGTGAATGCGTCACGATTCGATGAGATTCCTCGGACGACGACGCTGACGAGCCTCGCTCTCGCGTGACTCCGATCGCGACTTACGTTCAATTTCGTAGCCAGTGAGCGAGAGAGAGACAAAGAGGGAGAGAGAGAGAGAGAGTGATGAAGGGAGGGAGGAGGAAGGGGAGAGAGAGAGAGAGAGAAAAGTTTCTCTGACTCACTGTCTCGTCGACGCACACGAGCCTCGTGGCTTCGCCGACGTCGTTAACGCGCGCGCGTCGTTAACCCGCGAATGGTTCGCGCCATAAGCACCGCACATGCAAAGGATCCAAAATTATTTCATTCGTCTCAAGTGATCGTAATTAAATAACGGTCGTTCCTTTCGCGGATATTCTTCGAACGCCACGTGTTTCCGAGGATAAAAATTTTCCGAACGTTGTGTGGTACGTGAAATGTGAGTGTGAGGTAAAAGTACGCGGGGGAAATAGTCGGGTCGTATTAAAGCCAGAAACGCGCGATCGGATGCGTTTTCGTTGAAGGAAACCGAATTTCTGCTTCTCGTGTGATCTAAAATGTGGTTCTCACAACCGGAAATTCTGTTTCCCTCAACGAAAACGCGTCTGGTTGCGCACTTCTGGTTAATGCAACCAGACCTTTTTCCGCGTACCAATGCTTGCACACGTATCTAACTCTGGGCATTCTTGTTGTTTTGGTCCTTAAGTGAGAATATTCAAAGGCCCGTATTCCGAACTCTCTTTTATCGATAAAAGCGCCTTCAATGCGGCTTCTCAGTCAATCAGGTGGTTTCTAATTCAATTATTATAGTCCGCTTTTAGAAGCACTTTTACCGATAAAAGAGAGTTCAGAATATGGGCCAAATGTTCAGCTTAGAATATACATACATATATTGAATATATATAAATATTTTACGTTTAAAGATTCAACATCCGTATTTAAAGACCGGAACAAAAATGTCCATAATTAGGTACGTGACTAAACATTGGTACTTTTGCTTGAGATCATGTGTCGATAATTAGGAAATCACGACGTCGAATGGATCTCGCTTTGGATTTACTTGTTCAATTTCGAAGTTTCCTAAGCTGAACGAAAAATTCCGCCTCGAATAATTTACTCGCCTCCCTCTGTCGCGACCACCAATTTGACTTTAATTTAATTTAAATTGAATTTCATCGATTCAATTCAATGAAATCTCAGACAAATGTTACAGCGCGAGATCCGAGCGCGGCTTTCACTCTCTTTCTCTCTCTCGCTCGCTCGCTCGCTCGCATAATTCGGGCGTTACCACGTCACCGGCTAACCGCTGCTTCCGTTCTTCCGCGACAGAAGCTCGCGCGAGCTGTGCTGCGTGCAGATTCATCGTCTTCACTCTCTCACGGATCAATCCCGACGCGTTTCGCGTAATCGCGGGCTCGCCGAAACGCCGCCCGGAACGCGCCACTGCGGCGCGGAGCACACGTGGTGCGCAGCTTTTTGTTTGTGAATTGACTCACGAGGTATACGACGAGAGTGGATGGGAGGAAAGAGGGAAAGGAAGAGGGACGACAGAGTTCGCAGCGTATGAGAGGGTAGAATTATTTTTCGGTGTGTACCGCTAACGAGCACGGAGACGAGCGGAAGGTCGACCACCCGTTAGGAGCCGACGACGACGACGACGACGGCAGCGGCGAGTCTCTCGCTCTCGTTAGCGTCTCCACTCGCCTTCCTGTTGCGAACGAAATCGTAAGTGCTCGACGTTTGAAATATCAGCCGACTAAAATCATTCCCGAGATCCTCGTGAAAACAAAAACAATTATTAATTATTTCAAAATCGCGGCACGTCGAATCTCGAATTGTCCCGCATGGACGCTCCCGCTGACGAGATATCGAGAAATATCGGCACATGATTCGAATCTTCCGGAATAAAGCCTGAGAGTGCATCTCGCGCTCTCTGAGCTGAAAATCCCGGTTGAATTCGGGATCTGAGAAGGTTCCGAAAGACTTCGTTTATCCGGACGCTTATACTCTGGAGCGGCCGCGCGCTCTTTTTAAGTGCATTTCGCACGTGGACGGACTTGAATTCGCCGCGAATTCCCTCTCGGCGTCCGGGGGAATTTCTCGCGCTCTCTTGCGAGCCCGCTTTTAATCGGGCCGCGGACCGGAAACCGCGTAGACTGCGCCGCGCCCGATAATGTTATGCAAAGAGTTATGCAAAACGCCGGTCGACGTTCGCTACCGACGACGCTGATGCACACGCAGCGCGATCGCGCCGCTATCATCCCGCGCGCGCGCGCGCGCGAGCGAAAAGCGCCGAGATATCAGCGTGTACGCGTATCCGGGATTTAGGTCGTCATCTTCTTCGTCGTCGTCTCGTAATCGCTACTCGTACGAGAGCATGCGTAAATAAACCGTTCATTCACGTGCGAACGATGACGACGATGACGGCGTTTCGCTTGAAACGTAAGTCACAGCTTTTGCCTCTCTTACTCGACTCTGGCATACAAATTCCGGAAAATTGAATTTTCGATCTCCGCGCCACTTCGGTCGCACGGATCGTTTCTGTCTTATTTCGGCACGGCTTGAGAAGTGCTGCCCTCCTTCATCACCCTGGATTTATATTTAGTTGATACATTTCGAGCAAAACTGTCGAAATTTATACATATTCATGCGAAATTATGCACGCCAAATTTATACGTAAATTTATTCGTATCGCGAAGTAATAGTAATAATAACGCTCGATGATGATGAAATCAAAGTTGCGCCACGGACGTGGAAAATTGGAAAAAGTCATGGAAATTTCAAATGTCAGGGAATACCTGGAAAAGTCGGGGAAGGATATTTAAAAAAAATATATCCCTGGAATTTTTCGCTCAACAATTCCTTTAAATACACTCAACTGTGTTCCTTTTTCCAATACTCGTTAATTCTTTGTCGGTCTGAATTTGCATTCGGAATTATTAATAATTGTGTTGCTCAACTTTGAAGTTCACGTTGTTTCTAATAACATAAGCTACCTTTCCCGCAATCTTTCCTGCTAAACATCAAAGTTCAAGATTACATATTGCTCATGGAAAATCCTCCACTGTCATCTGGGAAACCTGGAAAAGAGAACTTCGAAATTCATTTGGCAGCCCTGTAAAATGACAACAACTAGATCGATAACTGAATCGGCACGAAAAATAAGTAGATCTTCTGTCACGTTAATAGATTACGTAACGTAGGTATTATTCGATATGGACATTTCTGAGCCGCTCGCGGAGAGACAGAATGCGAGGAAGAGCCGTTTTCTATTTTCGACGAGCACGCTTCGCGTCGACGTGTGACGTTGCCGTGTGACGTTGTCTCGCACGTCAAATTTCCTCCGAAACGATATCCCACGCGCATCCTGCGCGTTTATATCCACCGCCGATTAATAATCCCGGACGAATGCAAAACGGGCGCTCCGTTTGACGGAGCTTGAAAAATAAATAAAGCGCATCCGGATTGCAGCCCGGACGGCATTATGCGAGAATACGTAACGATCCGTTGAACTCGATGATTCACATCGACCGACCGACCAACCGACTGACCGGCCACGCCGCCCGCTTTCCCGTTGACAAATGATTTCGCGAGACACTTGTTGCATTTCATCGAGGCTTAGCGGATTCCGCGAATGAGAGGATCCATCGAGCGAGAATCGCGAACCAACGAAGAAAAGGAGGAGGAAGAGGAGGAGAAAGAGGATGATGATGCTCATGACAGCTGTTTTTCTCTTTTCCTCCCCCCCCCCTCTACCACCCCACCCCCTCTCTCCCTCTCTATCTCTCTTTCCTCTCTCTCTCTCTCTCTCTCTGATCTGAGAAAATCGACGGAGATAACCGAAGATAGCAGTCTCATTATTCCGCGTATTCGCGACCGATCGACAAATCACAAAGCGGCGTTCCGCGCGAGTACGCGGTAAAAGCGGATAAAAAGAAGACTCAGGTGAGATATTATCGCGACGATAGCGGCACCGTATCTGGAAAACACAACCTCATGCCGTCGAGCAGCGAGAGATGTATTTACGGTGGGGGCTCACGCGCGCGCGGACTACGGCACCTCTTAATCATCGCCGCGACGGTCGCCCGTCATTGTTCACGTTCGAGATAATTAACAACGGCACAACGAAGGAAAACCGGTGCTGGGGTATCGAAACGCGAGTCATCGACGGCCAGCCGTAACACATCACCCGCGCGAGACTACCACGGGTGACTCGGCATAATTCGGCACGAATCCCACTGTTCGCCGCTAATTACACCAGCGATGGATGCGAGAGCGGTCGTACAGAAATTTTCACCGATTTCCCCGCAGACAGCGTAGGTTCCGATTAGAATAGCCGAGATCGCGGCAAGTATGAAATATCCGTGATATTGAGGATATCAGGGTTCGTGCGTGTGTGTGCTCGTAAAATATACTTAAAGTAAGTTTCGTATAATTCGCTCGATCGTAGTGTACAGTGAAGACCGGAAAGAATCTTAGGGGAAACGCGGAGGGAGGGGCAAATCGAATCTGTTTAAGTTTCCCGTTGAAAATCGTGCGTCCGAAACATCACCGCTCCGAGCAGAACCCGGTAGGTAGATTTCCCGATCTAAAATCTATAATAATAACAATTGTGGGAAATCGGACTGGATAGGCCAATTAGATACCGCGAGATTTTCCGCGCGGATAGCAGATTCTATCCGAATGCTGGATAACGCGCTGCGGCAATTGCGCGCGCTTACGAGGAAGGAACGTTCTCGCTGCGACAATGTGCGCGCTTACATAATAACGACTAATAATTGATTTCTAACAGCCTTGACACGCTTCTGCGATAATCAATGCTTTTTACACGGCTGTAATCTCGAGGATGGTCGCGGGATCGGCGATGGTGGCTCGCTCGAACTCGAATTTCGAATTTCGTTCGGAGATATCGCTCCGTCGCTCTCTTTCTTCTCTCTCGCGTGATACGCGCGCAACGCCGCTAACCGAGACGGGGACACGTCTTGGCTGCACTCGCTGCACTCGCCGGACGTAGATAGATCTATGTATAATAGAGTCTATACAGTCGCGCGCCGGTAATTCGCGGCAGAAATATCTCCGAGCTCGCGTCGCGGACGTGCGACCGCGTCGTTGTGAATTTCCACGTGCCGGAATAAGCCGGCGATCGCCGGCCGCGTTTTCCCAGTCGCGCACCGGGAAACCGTTAATTTGCTCGTTAATCACTCGATCCGTCTATAAACGCGGAAGTGGCGCGCGTGTGTTTCGCTTCGCGATCGCTGCGGTTTGCGACGTTCCTCGTCGACCCGTGCGCTCCTTTCGCCGGGAAACGAGACGAACCGGTGGAAATCTCGGTGGCTCGACAAGATGTCAGAAAGTACAATTAAATGTTGGATTAAATGTTTACGTCGCGCGATTTGTCGCACTGAGAAAACGTGTTACCAAGTTCAAGTAATATTTACTTGATCGAAGTACCGTGGTTGCTCCGATATCCTCTCGCAAATATTAGCCCGAAGCAGAAATGTAATTGATTGTGTACAATACGAGATTTCCTTTGTATAGGCTTGTATGTGTTAAAGCAATCACGACGAGTATTAAATTCGTAATATCGAGAATATATCAGAATTTATTTTTAGGAAATGTTTGCCGAGCAGAAAAATGTAAATGTAAATACAAAGCCACTGGGTTTCTCCATAGGAAAGAAATATCACGTAATTTTAATAAATAATAAAATAAATATACAGTCTCGTAAATTTAGAATCACTCGAATCTTTACATTTACATTAAGTAGTTCATTTATAAATTGAAATATTACCGTTCAAGTAAGTATTTACTGCAAGCTGTCGATAAATGAAAACACGTAATTACGTTTACCCGATTCTAGCACTTTTTTCTCTGTGCAATTAATGATCGATAATATCGATCAAACGAGATAGCGAAATCGCTGTGAGACTTTTAGAATGAGAAATTCCAGCCTTGGGCTTAGGAAATTAAAACGAGAGCACTCTCGCTAATTTCGAGCGAAACAAAACGTCGATATATCGTTCATTAATTTTCCGCCAATTTTTTCATCCATTTCCTCGTATGTGCGAAAGGTCGTCGGCAGGTCGGCTTCTTATTTTCTGCCGCACGTAGCAGAACGAAGTGTATCCTTTTTGATAAGCCTACAGCGAATCCTTCGCGATTATGTCATCGGCGCTGACGTGGTCAGCATAGCTTCGCGGGCGAATTGACGACGGCAAGGACTTGGTTTCCTCCGCATTGATTCACCGCGTCTTCTTCTTTTCCTTTGTCGTTACCTTCCACGAATCGGCCGGAAATCGTCATCGCATTACGTCGCCGGTGTTATTGAACATCTAGTAACCTTCGGTAATATATCTTCCCACGTATCTAGATAATATCATGTATCGTTAATCCAGCTGCTTAGTCCGCCGAAGAGCCATTTGCGATCCAAGCGAGACGATCTCGCTGTGTTTGTCCAATTGAGAACCAATGTGGCAAAATCTCAAGTCATCCAGACAGAGGAAGTGCTTTATACGCAAACGATTACCGGTCTCGTCTCGCCGGAACTGCAAGAATGCGGCACACCGATCAATGAGTTCGGTCGGATCTGCGTGAACAGCAAAACGATGAACAACCAAACGCGTTTTTGTCGCAGGAAACAAAATCATTTTAGTTTTTTCGTGACCAATCTCGGGGACAAAATGACACGTACTCTCTCGGAAATCGCTTCACTATCGGCGAACGAT